ACCCCCTTTAAATGGCGCCTCTTGGCCTCTGTACCCAGGGTGGTCGAAGCTGTCGAAGATCCAACCACACTGCCACTGGAAAAAACGGTTCGACTCTCCTCAAATGGTCGATCCTTGTCATACGGCGAACTCTCTGCAGGATCATCATGCGGCCTCATGCCTCCTGCTTCTTCTGTTCCTTCTCTTTGCCTTTTTTGCCCTTTCCTTTGCCCTCTTTGTGCTTTCCCTTCTCCTGATGCCATGGCGCGTCTCGCCAGCTGCTTGACCAATCTCCTTTGCTCTTCCCCTTGCTTGCCTCCGCTCGAGTGCGGTTCTCTTCCTTGGACTCCTTGATAGCCTCCCGGGCTTCCGTCCTGCTTGAAATGATGGGCTTTTCCAAGGGGACTAACTCGATCTTCTGTGACACTGACCAGCTGGCGCCCTGCGAAGTCATCTCTATGGCCTTCAGCCGTTGCATTAGGCCATCTGCGGCCTCTGCTATCCGAGCTTGCATCAACAGATCCAGGCACCAGCTCAAGGTCAATGCTTCGCGAGACTGACCGCCTGTCAAGCGGGTGCTCAGGACCTGCCTGAAATACTGGCAACAGATGGGCTGAAGAGGCCCTTCGGCCTGGTCCCAGATCCCTCCTGTGGAGCTGAGGAGATTGTTGGCCATCTCCTTGCATCCTGCCGTAGTCAGTGCACCCGGGGCCATGCGGCCGATCTTCCTTACCTTTTGAGTCTCCTCGAAAAGCTCGCCGCTCTCTTCCTCGGATGAGCCACTGCTGCTCCCTGTTGATGAGGTCTCGGACGAACTCTTCTTCTTTTTCTTCAGCCTCCTGGAAGCCTTGGCTGCTATCTTTTTCCTCACCTTGGGATCGGCTCCACTGGAGGTTGCTTAGGAGGCGGGCCTCCCCTGTCTCCAGGCGGAGATCTGGATGGTGTTCTTGGTGGCCTGACGGATGGCTTTGCCTTTTTCTCCTTCCCTTTCTCGGCCTGCTCCTTCTTCTTGTCTTTGTCCTCCTTTGTGGGCCTTGACCTTCTCGATGAACTTCTCCTCCTTCTGCGATGTGATCTTCTGCTCCTCGACTTGTCTCGCTTCCTCGCGCTCCTGCTCCTTCTCCTGGGAGTCTTGTCCTCTTTGAGCTGCTTTGATCCACTCGAGCACTTACCTTCCTCTACAGGCGAACCTACTTCCTCCACACCGGGAGTTTCTTTAGGGCTGTTGGGCTTGTCTCCTTCCTTCTTCGGGGCTATCCAACTCTTGTCCGGCCGATCTGCCTCTTGCTCTTTACTCCCCTTTGTGGGAGTTTCTCCTCGGACCACGGGACTCGCGGACTTGGAAGCCGCTGTAGCAGTCGCTGCCGCGCGTGCTTTCTCCGCCTCTTCAAGCCTGTCAAGTTCCTCCTGAACAATTCCGGTCCAGATGCGGATGTTGCTGATGCCCCAGCCGCGCAGTCCCAAAGGCAGCGAATCAACTGTCGTCCACCAGCGAGTACGCACTCGACAAAAAGTGCACACCTGATCGGCCTCTCCGCACCGTATCCCGCACTGCGTGCACGGGTACATCCACGGCTGAGAGCCCAAACCCTTCGGGAGAGAAAGGAATCCACCTAGTTCGTCTTAAAACCCGGGGTCGTAAGTTCATATAATATATAGTCTACTATGTGATAATGGTAGCGATATTATTCGTATTGCAGCTGGCCACTTGGGCAACCCTAACGATTACCACCAACCAGGCCATGCACCATGCATCCTTCAACAGCACCACGTCCCTTGTGCCCCGCCCGCAGCCAAGAAGCGAGTTGAAGCAGGGAGAGCATCATACCGATAACGTTGGGACCCCACACTGGCACTTTCCCGGTTCGCACACCCACAGTAAACCAGCAAGAGCCTGAGTCAACCACGGATCTGGACATCTGGTCTGCCGATGTCAAGAGCAAATATCAAACCAAATTAGAGAATTACAGTAAACGTTCAAACCGCTGGATGATGCCCTGACAAGTAAAGCTCCCTCTCTGTCTCCCTGTCTGAGGTGCTGTTCAAAAATCCCAAGAAGCTCTGCATGACAGGTAGGGTCCTCGCAGTCATGAGCATGGTTGTATTAAGAGCTGCAGAAACAAATGCACCGACAAAAACAACAAACTTTGACAAACAAAAACCCAGCTGCAACCTATTCACAAAGCCCTACGGTACTTTATTGGAAGGCTTAGCATGTAGTTGGTATAGTTTCCGACACTTTGTGTTGAAGAAGTGTTGAACTCACGATTCATGAACCTGTCTGTTGTGACCTGCTGACAATTAGCTACGTGTTCCAGTTTGGTCACACATTTCTGACTTCGGCTGGGATGAGATTATTGAAATGCATATTTCTGCAAAGGTGACTGGCACAAGCTAAGCAGTGGAGGGGAAGTCAATCCCCTGCATCCCTTTCTTTGTGGTTTCGGATGATGCCAGAGACGTTAGAGAACATGTTAAAGTGGAGCAATCAGAAAGTCCACAACTTTCTGCCCACAGATGCCCACAGCCCCTAAAACTGTGAGGCAAGAATCTCGGAGGACTTGGTCTTCAGCACCTCTTTCATACTGGACAAAGGCGCTCCGTACCTTGGATGCACCATGATGAGAATGCACCTCGTCACCTCGTCCGGTGGATCTTTTGGGAACAGTGACAATTTGCACTTCTAGAGATGGTGATGAAGCTCAATCTAAAATCAAAATCTGACTCCGACTCGAGCAATTACAAAAAAAAAGTAGTATGATGTACAAGTAGTATGTAACTATATTGAACTTAAACGTACATCCAAATTGATGGGGATTGTCGTATTATCATTCCAGATGTTGACATCCAAACGCCTTACTCAGCTCAGGAACATGATGATTCCCACCAGCATCCCGAGGACGCCAACGTCAGCCGCGCTTTCCAAAGCTGCAAAGGCAAAGATGGTTGCCGAGAGCAAAACTGCCAGCAGTGTGCCAATTGCCTCACATCGAATGCGGTACTACCACTGAGCGCTGGACGACGCTGGACGTGTTCATACAATTTTCATGGGCGTTCGATTCATGCGTTCGTTGGAATGTGCCCAGGTGCAGCGGTGCGATCCCAATTGATCGCATGTTGCTCCTTGCGCGCGAACCACCAACATGCGGAGGTGCTGAAGATGGCCACACCAACCTGAGGTTGTGAAGCTTCGCTTCACAGAGTCCAAAGTAGACCAATCCAACAGCTTCACAAGTCATGACCTTGATGAACGTAATGACACGTACTGACTCCGTGAAACATGCAGCTGGGGGAACGTAGAGAAAACCGAGTTCGAGAATCTCTGAATTTTCTCTTCCATGTCAAACTTCAGAGATTGCTTTCTGTCCCTCGCTGAGAAGGGCCAAAATGGGCACTTCGGAACTGGCAGAGCATCCGGCTGAGTTACTCCATAAGCGTTGCACGGCACAACCGGTGGGACTGGCAGGAAGAGGCCATAGGCCAGCCTTGTTCCACCAAACCACACGGGAAACCCAACTACTGGACATAAATGTACACCATACCAAACATATCCAAACGTGGTTGATTGTGTAAATGGTTACGATAAACATGTCCTTCACTGTTTGCTAGCAGTTGAACAGTGTGGCCAAAGACAAACAAACTCTTACTGTATGTTGATGTTGCCAAATCAATACTGGGATACATGATGATACATTGACATTATTGGAAGCCTCACTCGCTTCAAAAAGCAAGCTTGTTGCCAAACTGTTGCTTTACAGTTTCTTGAAATCCTTATTTCACAATGCTTGAAACAAATATATATATATATGTATAATTGAAATTACACTCACAAATCCAAACTTTCCCGGAGTTTCCTGCATCACGTGGTCTACCAGGGCTGTGCTGACAGACTCAAGATTCCTGCGTGCTTATCTCATTGTCTGCTCTCTTCTGCAGCTGAGTGGCTGAGTCATGCAGTTCAGGTAGAAGCAAAGCAAGTTGATGGGATTCACATATCCTGTCCACAACTGAAGTGATCAAGTGCCACGCATCTGTTAAGTGAAACAGGTGGCACAAAGAAATCGCCCTCATTACTTCAATCTCCCCTCGACCAAAAAGTGCTAGCGGAGCATTAAAATGTCCCGAACAGTGAATCTTCCAAGGTCACCATGATCCAGCACAATAGAACCCGATTGGTTGGAACAGCTGGGTGATCCTTCTATCAAATGGTAAATTCTTCTTCAAAACAGGACAAGCTTCTCACTTTTGCTGGCGTGCCGCACACATCGATTGCCCTTGGTGCCGTTGCAGGTCACGGATGAACAACCGAACTTGGAGAAGCACGCTGCTGGTGGATCTAGCATTGCTTGGCTGATTTCACCAAGCACACAGAGAGAAGGCTGGAAGCCATAGACATTTTAAAGTGGAAAGGGATACTATATATAAGTCCAAGAAGGACCCTCGAAAACGGGATTGCTTGCATCGAAAACTGGCAACAGCTTTGGTACTGTGCTATCATGCTTTCAAGGTTTGTGATCGCTGGCTGCTTCATTTGGCGTTTCATCAATTGCTATGCCCCCGTGGTTCCGCGGCTCGAATTTGCCAGAGGCCCTCTCTCTAAACCAAGAGGCTGTGACAAGGGGGCCGTCATGAAAAAGACTGCGAAACAGATCGCCACAGTGTCGAGGATGAAATCTGCGGCCATGGCTATGAGCGGTTAACGCTTCGGAGGCAGCTAACAAACGTTCATGAATCAAGGAGCCGTGAAGGCTTCTGCAGTCACCTCATGTGCGAGCTGCCTTTTCTTCCTCATTCAATGATGGACATCATTGTCTCTTGAGGCTAGTCAATCTTCTGGCCAAACAGCTGCAAGAGCACCAGCAGAATCCTTCACGGTCCGCCAAAAGAGCATTCTTTGGTATCGTTTTTAGGTCCGTTGCTGGTCTGCAGTCTCCGCTTTGCGTCGGTTCCTACTGTGTGCACCCATGCTTTGAAGCTGTGTGAGTCTTTGACAAGTGGGCAGCAGTTCAGATTGATCCAGCCTGATTGAGACCATCTTCACTAAAGCCCGAGAAGCGCACGGATGGCACCTGGCATGGCGAGCTGGGCAAGTCGAAGTGATCGCCCTTCCTTTCGGTTCAGGCGTCGCACGCTCCATTCAAAGCCTGGAAACTGCAATAGATTCGCTGCTCTGAAACATGAACCTGCTAGGTTCCAAGTGGGAAACATACATGCTAAGCCGCGCAGAGGCCGCACTTTGTGGTCACCTTTCACAATATTTCTACCCTAGGATTCGAACCGCCATTACTGAACCAGTGTGTCACTAAGGATTTTACACGACAGCAGCAGGTCAACCCCTCTTTTAATGGTCTTGGAAGGCTAAATGTTTCGCTATTTGGTTGGAAGAAAGTTGGTGGTGAATTCAACAGGCTTGAATTCACCAGGCTTGCAGTGCTTGCAGTGCAACCGCACACATCCGCACACCAAAAAAAGGGCCAATGCCTTTCGGACGCATTCGCACAATGTCCGGTGCCTCCTTGAGCTTGTAATGCCCTGACAGAGTCACTCGAAGGTCCTTGGCACATTGGAGAAACTGTCGTCAATGAGCGTTCCAAAACGACCGCAAAAGGCAAAAAACCTCAAATCATATCAGCGTTCCAAAGGTGCTTGCCTAGGCGACCAAACATTGCTTGAATGTGGATACAGTGCCTAGATCCTAGTACTGGACAGTACCCCGCCGAACAATCTCCTGATCAGTCAAAGAGCCTATTTCGTCCGCAGTGGGTCATTGTTACATGACTGCATTGTTTGTGGTCCTATGAATTCGCCCCTTCTGATCCTACAAGAATGTATATTTGAGCACTACAGACTACAGGTATCCACAGCGCGCTTCAGGTATCCACAAGCAGATCTTCAGATAATTGAATACTCTGGCTGCCACAGGCACCTGCCGCCGGACTGAGGAACGTCGTGCCTCGGAGTGCTTTCCGTCTTGGTCCACGCTAATTGCAGGACTTGTGATGATTGATTGATTGTGTGGCTGAGAGTCAACTCCAAACCCCTAACCATCCCCTAACCATGGTAGTGTGGCCCTATGTGGCCACAGCGGAGGAGATCCTGTTCACTGATTCACTTGAATGGTATCTCAACCAGTGCTCCCGTGGTTTTGACCCACATACTGTATGGCTGCCACATGGGTCTTTGCATGGTCTGGCTAATCTTGAATCCCCACAGCCGGCAACTGTGAAAGAACATTAAAAAGGCCCTGTCTCGAGCTTCGGGGGGGCCCTACAAACAGGAGACTCCAGTGGTTGACCACCTGCAACATGTTCATTGGTTTGTTGGAGGCTGTGGGTTTTTTTTTCTATGCGATAATGGGAACCAGAACGGGAATGCTGCTCGATGACCCCAAAGGGCCAGTGGTTCAAGACCCAGAAGCCGTGGAAGAGAACGTGCCCGTTTTCAAGGAGATTGACTCCTGGAGCTTTCAGGATCAGTCCATTTAGATTCGTTACTAGCGTCCCTGCTACTAGTAGCGATGCCCGGGTTCCTAGTACCGATGCTAGGAGCTACTAGCAGTAGCTTCTTGTTCCTAATATATATATATATATATATACATATTAGTATAGAGGTCAGATGTGAATCCTTTGACTGACAAAGTGGGCTGCGATGGTGTCCCGTCCTCGCTATACTAGACTAGGAACATCCAGGAACAACACTTTTGATGCAAACGCATACCTGACGATTCACCCATCATCTGTTACTTGTCAGGAAAATCACTGCACCAAAGTAAGGGTGCCTAAACTGGCCTGTGTCATCATGGCCTCATGTTACCGGACAGTAACCTACCTCCTCCCCTTCTCCGAAGCCCTCTCGAAAATGGTTTCAAACTCAAAAGCAAGTATGCTAATAAGTGTGTACATGATTATATATGTACAGTATATGGCGTGAGAGATACGGAGGATTCTGACGAATGGATTGGCCTGAAAGGACTCGTAGAATTGCCAGAGCTCCAGCGAAAAGCGGCCATCAGTACTGCGAAAAGCATCGAAAAGCGGCTTCGAGGCAGCGAACGCCAAAGCTGCTCTCCAGCAAAAAGGCTTCCGCATCCGAGGTTGATATGAGGTTTCTGTTGGGGTTGTAGGCTGAGAGTGCATCTTGATACAGAACGGGTGACACTTCTACAGGGGATATTCACTTCTCTATCACTGATATCACCATCCAACACTCAGCAAAGAATCATGGTGAGGAACCGGCCGAGTGTATAGAGCCAAGTGCAAATCAGGCTGCATGCATGACTCTTCTAGATTCTAGAAAGTCTCTTTCTATGTGTGGAAACAAATTCTTAAGTTTTCATCAGCCAATCAAGGCGCGGGCAGCTGCTTACAAGGTAGATAATGGTCTGCAACTCGATGACTGATGTTCAAGAATTCACATTCAATTCGCTCCGGGTTTTCTCAAAATCTGGCCATTGTGCCTTTCCACTCAAAAGCCCCTTCCCCAACGCGACCACTTCGCAGCAGCCACACCTGGGCTGCAGCTCCAGGAGTGCCGAGGTCCAGCTACTCCGGCCTGGGGATTGCACGGAGTCACAAGGCATCAGTCAACATTCACAAATTCCATCGACTAAAGACATGCTAGCTAAAAGCTAGCAATGTCTGGCTTGTGTGTGCTCTTTTAATGCTTTTATGGAAGTTCCTGGGCATCCATATCTCTGGGATTAGCTCGAGTCCAAGACAGTAAAAGGAATGTAAAGGTACAATTAAGACCGGTTGGAATCCCTGCCCGCCCCAGATGGCCCTGCCAGCTGCTCCATGGCATCAGCGAACATGGATGGTAGGAAGCAATCTTGGATCTTGCTTGTTGAATGGTGCTGAATGAACGTTCAAATGGAGGCCACTAGGGGCTCCTGGCCTTACTACTGGAAGCTACTAGTAACAAAGGGCATCGCTACTACAAGGAGCATGAAGATCCAAATTGTTTCCCTCCAATCCGTTTAGGTCTAATAACGTTGTTCCCAACAGGAGTCCACCGAGGACTGATACCTCTGGCAACCGCTGTGTTTCCAAGATGCATCCTTAAAGGACGCCATGTATGCAGCCGTGAAGAATCAGTACTGTTGTCCCTTTGAGCTTCATCCCATGCTTGTCTTGCTAGTTAAGCCTTGCGGGAAAGCTTTGAATACAAATGCGGTCGAGCGTCAAATGCAAATCTCCCTTAAAATAACGGCTGAATGGCTGAATATCACAAGCCGGGCTGCTCTTGAGTGCTGGTGCTGCTGCCCCATTCACAGCCAGCTGACAACCAAATCAAAGCACGTGGCATGTGAAGTACTTGTGTGATATGTGTATGTGTATATATATATATATGCATCCCTTGCATCTACAATCTTAACAGGGTATTGGAAGATCTGCTTCACCCGTTTACTATGCTTGTCTTCGTCTGAGACTTTTTGACCTCGCACAAAGCAAGCTCGACATGACCTCACGGCGGAATAGATAGACTTATAGACAGTGAGGTGGATTGATGATAGATGGAAAAAAAATGATACTGTAATCTAACATCATCTAACTGGATTATAATATACATATATACACGTAATCTTCACAGAAAGCATGTTGGCTTCCCGGTTGTGGCACAAGGCAATAGCAGCGACAGGCATCATCAGCGATCTCGTCGTGGCAAGAATGAAAGAAACTAGACTAAACACCCCAAGTATCAGTTAGATCCATCATTGGACCGAAGGTGGTGAGATGTTCACAAATGGCCAACCCAAAGAATGTTCTGGGCGCCAATCAACAAATTTCCAGGAACATGGATGAGTAAGGAAGCACTGCCTCTTGACATACTGCTTGCAATCTTTTCTTTTTGACCAAAAACTCTGGTTGTGGAGCTACTCTTGAGGCGAACGACTTCTTTGGAAGACTTTTTTGGAGTGTTCTTGGAAACATCGCATCAATTTCTGACTGGATGTTGTGCTCTTCTCGAATGAGATTCAACCCAAGTTGGGTGCCTCAGCGCAAGGAAGGGGCACTAGAACTTTGCTGAAGACCTTCTTGAGGAGGCGCCTGCAGTCTCCGATTTACCGTCACCGCACAGCAATTTTTCGCTGTTAGATGTACAAACGAACTCTTGAGGTGGCCATGGTTGGAGTCCCAGGGAGCCAGAAAGTATCTTTCCTTACGGCGGATTGATCTTCCAATAGCCTTGATCCACATCGTCAGGCATTGTTTTGAAAACGAGAAAGTTTCATCGGCAAGTTTGCTTGTACCCTTTATGGCCACAAGAAAGCCGGTGCCTCTGGAAGCTTGCATGCTTCGGTCATCTTCGGTCTAAAGTCTAACCATGCAGTGATTCTGCTGTCTGCTCTCTACGCTTTACAGCCCTCACAAACAAAACGTTCTAATCCGGCCATCATTCATCAGACCTGGAAGAGTGGAAAATTACAAGCCATATACTGTACATATTCCGATTGTTATGTTTTTGCCCGCTCCTACTTAATTAAGTAGGCACCTGCTTAATTGAGTAAGGGAGGAGTAAGCTACTAGGAGTTCGCTCCTAGCTAGGACGCGGGATCACTTCTTCAAGGAAGCTCCCCGCGCCTGAGGGCGAGGGGGGGAAGATTTTTTGGAAAACTTACTAAGCTCCAAGATATGTTCTGATGTAAAAAAATATTATATATAAATATAAATATATATATATATATGACAGTTGATTGGCTTTGTGGTTACAGAAGCAGGGCCGAGCAGCTCCTTTTACAAAGTTGACTCTCACTTCTTGCAAGTCGCTTCAGTCTTTCCCCTTCCAAACAGATGCCTTCCGACACCACAAGACAGTTGCGTTGGGGTCGTGCTCCGCTTGCTTGGAGGCTCCCAGCCTGCATACGATCTTGCTTGATAGACCCCAGGAGACAACAGGAGACAAGAGAAGAGCAAAGTTATCTCGTGATAGGCAACAAGTAAGCAAAATACAAAAAGGACAAAGTGCAGCAGTGGCAACCAAGTGAGGAATTGATTGCGGGACAGGACCATTTTCGCACAACAAGTGCAAGTTGTAATGAAGGGAGAAAAAATAAGAAAAAGAAAACAACCGAATACAAGAACAAAAGCAGCTGCAGCTGCTGTGAAGTCTGCAATGTTCAATGAGGAAATCGGGCAAGGATACTATACAAAAACACACTTGTTTTGTGTTTTAGCACTAATTGAGAAACCGAGCAGATTTGGTGCAGAATGAGAATAACTAAAATCATGTTGAAAACAGCCACCCAAACAGAAGACACAAAGGCAGAAACAGGTGAAGTTGTTCTGTGAGGCGACCAGTTCACGAGCGGGGAAACAACAGCATATCATATAACCCCTGGACCTTCACCCAATCCCCACCGAAAGCGAGCAACATCGAGGCAAATCAGTGAAACCGGCAGCATCATCTCAAGGCTCACAATGCAGTACGTCATCGCTTAGAACCCCAACCAAGTAAGAAACAAGTTGCTTCTGTTTCGGTGAATCATCCACTCACTCGCATCCAGGGTACGGCACTCCGACACGATGTGTCCGTCACGGAGGGCACACAGTGGGACGGTGGGAACCCAGCGATGACGGCGGGATGACCCGGTGGGGTGGGACCCGAGGGGTGGAATTATAAGCATCAGGATTATGTAGATGCTATTAGTAACAGGTGCCACGCTACTAGTAACAAGTGCATCGCTTCTAGTAACAAGTGCCTTACTAGTAGTAACAAGAAGCTACTAACCTTCACCCATCCACATTCCGCATTCCGGATACAATGTCTTCCAGTCCCCCACTCAAATGCGGTTCGAAAGCCTTACACACATGAGACGGCCATGGTATATATATATAATTCTACAATGTGCCTATATCGTGTTTTAGTGTGTTTTATAATGTTCTATATAGGATACTGCTTTGCATTCCCCAACACAACTGTGCTGCCATGAAAACTGGCTCACCAAACACCGCGTGGGCAACCGTGACGTTGGAGGCGTGTGCAAGCAAGTACCATACCCATTCCATGCGTTCAACACCTTCAGTTCTGTTGTATAATCATAGATTCTTGGTTCTTGCAAGATGCCATAATCCATCTTCCAGTTTCAAAACGCTTTCTACTATGAACTGCCAGGATGAGACAAGCCTCAACTCCTGCCGCGTCTGGCGGCTCTGAGCCTGTTGAAAGGTAGCGATTCTGAAAGCATCCGATTGGGATTTGAAGCGGAATTGAGGCATGGATATTGTTCGTGGGTCTCATTCCAATCTGGATCCTTGCAATCGAAACAGTCCAAAGTGCGAGCTGCTTTTGATGGCCTCCATAGACTTCATGCCTTTCATATGTCACATATTGTCACCTTCCGATTCCCTTAGATTCTCACAACATATCAGAAAATCCTTCCGTCTCCGCGGTCGAGCTCCGAAGGAAATCCGAATCACTCGGAAAAAGTGACCCGTTCGACCCCTGTCATTTTTTCTCCTCATGGCCCCAGCAGTTCTCTTGCCATCTTTCGGGCTACAGGATCACCTGGGCACCATTCAAAGATCTCAAATCAATTGCTAATTGCCAGCTCCAGGCTGATCCTACTACAAAAGAAATCGACTGGAAAATTGTATATTGCATCTTCATCTTCTTCTTCTTCTTCTTCTTCGCAACCTCATCTGTTTGGCTGCAAAAGTGCCGTTATGGGTTGTGAATAACACCTCAACTCTCATCAACCAAGTCTTCAGCCATGATAAGACCTTCTTTCTCCTCTTGCTTCTTGTTGCGAAAGCCATGATATTGAAGTCAATAACAGCCTGCTAATGCAAAAATAGACGAGCATTAGGGAGAGGGAGAGCCGTCGTACGAGTAGCAGGAGCAGTGGCATGGAGCTGCAATATTGCAGTCAAGTGCAGGTATTCTTGATCAATGCGCCACTGTGCAATGGGTAGTTGAAATCTAATTCATGTTTTCGGAAGCGACATTGAAAAGGTCCAAGTATCTCCCGAGCCTTATAAGCAGAAAACGCTGCCAGAAGAAGTCATTTGCAGCTGTGAGAGCTCTGATATCACGTGACATATCTTGACGTCGAAATGTTGAGCTATCCCAGTTCTCTACCTTCACCGGTCTTTTCGCGCTCTTGACTGCCGGCAAGGATCTGAGGTGATGCCAAAGAGGCACATCCTCTCCCAAACATCAAATCCCTTCATTCTTGGCTGTAAGAAATAGAGCTTTGGCATGATTTGGCTGTTGGTGATCACTGAACAGAACATCAATAATATAGCTTGTCACTTGTAAATAGATGTTCAACAAGTGGCTCCAAAGCTTCGACCGGAGACTGCTGAATTGTCTAAATCCCAACGTCCGCCCCTTCACCCGGCAAGGATCAAAGTGTAACTAAGTGAAGGAGTAAGCGGTTCAAGGCGGAAGCTAACAAAAACATACAAAAACTGTCAACAAAAGATTGGAGGAACCTTCAAAATGCATATACAAAATTGGTCCAATCTGCTTAGGCGTCATTTGTTGTTTTCCAGTTTCAGTGTCCAAGGATTGGAGTTGGTCCCGCTTGTGATGCTTCGGGGTCCTTGGCAGCCATCAATTCCGTCGCGAGGAGCTCCGTCTGGTTGGAGTGCTCCAGCTTCGCAAGCTCTTGCACCAGCTGCAACCTCACTGAATGCAACAAAGCCGGGTGAAGGCAGTGTGAAAGCCTCCCTCGTGACTCTTGACGGTGCAAAAAGCAAATCAACTTGTGACTTCGTCAACTGGCCAACATTCTCCTCGCATCTAGTCAGTGCTTCCTTTGAGTTCATCTTTGGTTTAAGGCAGATTAGGGATGATGAAACAATATGAAACAGCCAAAATCCGACAATCTGCTTGTCTAAAGTCTTTCACACAGTGGGAATACAGTATCTCAAAACTTGTATGAGGCATGGATCTTTTTCGGCCTCATAGCCTCAGCCAGTGCCTCTAGGCTAGAATGTTGCCACAGCTCGTCGCTGTCGGCCAAGATGCTGATCTAGCCCAAGTTCTTGCACTGGCTGCCTGCATCAACTCAACAAGGAGAGCATGGAGATCCCAAGAAAATACTAGAGCTAATGAAGCTAATGTAGACTGTAGATCAGGCAGGACCATGTAGGACCATCTCAGTCAATGAAACCTGGTTGCATCCTAGCCATGTCTCAGCACTCCTCCGGCCTTTGCAGCTCAAAGCATGCTAAGGGGAAGTCCTGCGGCCTCTGTCCACATCCAGGTGACCTCAACTCACACAAGAGAAAAAAAGCCAAGAAACGGTGTTGGGAAGGTGAAGAATGATGGGTTCCAGCAGCAGGCAAGTGCTTGTCATACACGACAAAGATCGTCACATACAGCGTATGTGTAAGATACATATGTGAGGAAGGGCTTGCAGTCGAGCAGGTGAAAGGCATGGGGCTGCAACTGTGTAAGCTGGATGAATAAAGAGCTGAGTGAAGATGCTTTTCAGTGTGTATACAACACAAGCGTTCCAAAGACTCTGGGATGTGTTTGGCTGATTGAAAGCCCAGCTGACTATGAGCCACAGCACTACATAAGTAGCAGGCAGAAATTCACAAGAACAACTTGCAAACACCGTGTATTCTGAGAGCATTCCAAACAACCAATCCTGCTTGGCTCGAATTTGCGGTAGGTAAAACATCCCAGGCACCCATAGGCCGGAACCGGTGGAGTCATGAGCGTGACCAGATTCGGGTAGACGATGTCCTACCGGCCCGGTGTACGATCTGAAATCAGGTCCGGCAGTCCTCTCTCCGGTCCGACACTGAGTACACAAGCCGCCAACACAGAGCATCTCTCCGGGTCTTTAGACCAAATGGCCTAGTAGCGATGGCCTTCACCCTGCCAAAGAAACTTGATGCAAGGTCATACAATAGAATCCGAACGTACGCCTAACACCAAGCTTTGCTGGACAACTTATTTGACTTCATACATGGACTCCATGGCACTCTTCATGCTCTCCTGTGAGCAGGATGCAGGCCATTCGAAGCGACCCTCCATGAACATGGGGCAGCCACTAGCCTGATGGCCTGGTCAAAAGCCATCAGCTCAGCAGCTTGGCAGGAGCGAGTCTTGACCCTTTCAGAATCTTCTTTTTCTACTATGAACAATGTGTGGAGAAAAGCACAAATTGAAAATTACCTCACCGCTGCATTGGAACTTGCTTTGTTTCATGGTGCTGGAGCTCCCAAGGCTTTGTGTCTTTGCACTGCTGTCCACTTTGACTCCGTTGAAGGGACCCTGATGGCAGCCCAAACGGGGCAAGCAAGGAAAGGCGTGCTTTCTGAACTGTAAAATTCAGTTTATCAACTTGCACCTCCCAGCTTTGGTTGACTACAATTTACTGGTGTATTGACCTACTTGAGCCCTCACACAAGTACGTGTCTGAGTGTATGTCTCCACCCACTCGACCTCCTGGTGCTGTTGCCCCCAATTGCGGCCATTGGCGCTTCCTTGTCAAGCCGAAATGATGGGTTGATGTATGCTGATGTCTTGCAGAGATGATCCTTCAGGCGCCGCATAATTATACATGTACGCGTGTACAGTTTATATGTACACGGCAGTGTGCATCCAACAAATGCCACTGAACAACCCGACATGGGAAGAACGCAAAATACCCCGCTTGGGCTGCACCCACTCACTCAGATCACCCACTTCAGATCGGTTGAGTCCATATCCTACCGACTTGTGAAGCTGCCAAAGCCTTCAGAAGAGCAGGACTGACATTTGCTACAAGCGGCATTTCCCGCACCATGTCTTGGTTGAAAAGGAAGGCATTGCCTCAGCATCCGAGTCGGTTCTCGCAACGGCTGTTCGGACATGTTTGGACAGCACTTCTAGGAAGCGGTCGATGCAAAGAAAGGCCCCCCCTCCACAGGTAGCTTGCACCTACAGGGCATGAGCCAATCAATTCAAGGGCATTGGTGTGGATGAGATACCCTCCGGAAGTATGCAAAGCTCAACCATCAGTAACAAGGACTTCGAAAACAAGGAGAGGGATCGAAGTAACTATTGGCTTGGATATGAATTTCAGAATGCTTTTATGTAAGTGTTATTGTGCTTGTCCAAGCAATCCGAGCAAGTACGTAGTTGCATGTGTACGGTGCATGCTCACAAAATCCAATCATGCAAAAGCAAAAGCCAGTCACGGACCCCAACCCCAAATGCCTTGAGGAAAAAGCCACGGCAGGATTTCATTCTTCCATACTCTGAGACCCAACGTGCTGAAAGCTGTTGGAGGTGCGAAAGAAAAATATCTGAGGTCTCTTGAGGAAATACTTGCAAATAACGAACATCGAGGCATGTAATATGTAATACGTGTCTAATAAAGACATGCTAATCTTCAAAACATTCACAAATCCCTTCGCCAAGCTAAACGCAACCATCGCCACGACTTCCACGTGTTCATCTCCCAAGCCAAACGCAACAAACGCAAAACGCCACGACTTTCACATTTGGGAGTAGTAACCATACCTGAAGCCAAGTCCGAGAGGTGATCCTTTCGGATGGTTCTCTCACTCATTTGGCCGCGTGGCCAAACATCAGCAGCAAGGGACCGCCTGCAGCATGCTGCTGCTCTTGACGCCCCTGCAAGTTTCAGTACGGCTTCAGATCAAAACCTCAAAGGACTGTCTTGCACTGTCTTGCCGCATGTGCGGTCCCAATATGTCCCAATTGATACTGAGTGATATGCAAGGTGTTGGGACGTGATCACTTGGGAGCTTCTGAGCATGAAAAAGCTCCAGCTTAAACATGCTTAGAGAGTCGATGAGTCGATGAGTCCTGACATGATTCATCGCACCGGGTCTAACAGTCTGCCTCACGCAGAATGGCAAGGTGCGTGGCAATGCTGAGACGCAGCTTGGAAGTGAGCAACAAGTGATCAAACTCCACGTTGACAAGCCAATCCTCATCAAAGCTGCTTGTGCTGCTTGTGAATGTTGTAAGGCAAAAACGAATCTAGCCTGGGATGAATGGGTCAACAACAATAACTCTGCAGGGCAGGTAGCTCAGTACAAACACCATGTTCTCATCCAGCTTTGACAAGTCCATTAAACCTCTTCGTCTTGAAATTAGCTCGTGAGATGAGCATGAATGAGTTTGAACACATCTTCATTGGTTGAGACAAAGGAACTGTAGACACTTGGTGTGGTTTCAAACCTGT